CCCCAGTCCTCCCGGTAGGAACTAGCCGAGGTCTGCGTTGCTTGCACCTGCCCACCTCCAGCAGCCGCTGATCGGCTGTCAGATGGGGTTTGCGGCGAATGACATGCGGAGTTAGTCCACCAGCAAGAAAGGGCGGGCGAACCTCACACGGAGTCCAGTCCGAGGGGCCAGGGGAACTCGGAAACACTCCACACACCCAATGGCCCGGCGGCAGGCAGGGCCAACCCCGTTCCGACCCAAGTTCAACCTGGTGGTGACAATGAACATCCCAAATTGATGTTTCTCACCTGAAATTTTAATTAAGCCAATTCAAAAACATTTTTTAAAAATGCCTTTAATCTTAAAAAAAAAAAAAAGGGGGGGGGGCGACGACTCTGAGGTCCCATGGATGGAAGGACATGGGACATCTGACGCTGTAAGAACCACATTTTTGCCGAAACCGGTTTGGCTCAGTGGATAGAGCGTTGGCCTGCGGACTGAAAGGTCCCAGGTTCGATTCCGGTTAAGGGCATGTACCTGGGTTGCAGGCACATCCCCAGTGGGAGATGTGCAGGAGGCAGCTGATCGATGTTTCTCTCTCATCGATGTTTCTAACTCTCTATCTCTCTCCCTTCCTCTCTGTAAAAAATCAATAAAATATATTTAAAAAAAAAAAAAGAACCACATTTTTTGAAAGCTGCACGTTTTTTGGTGTGGCTACAACAGTGTGTATTTAAAATGTTTGTACAGACTTGAATGGAAGCTTTTGGGCCTGATGGAGTAAATGAATAACTATATTTAGATGCTTAAATGAGACAGTCATTCTTTTAACACCCGAATCATTATGAACAAGTCATGTATTGACCTTCTCACAAGGATTCCTACTTTATAGAGAAAAACTGCTTAGGAAGAGATAAAGGACAGACTTTATACTCAGGCAGTCCTCAAATGTTATCTTCTTACCCAAAAGACTCGATTTGCCTCTTCGGTGAATTCACCACTGGCGTTCTGTAAAGGAGTTATCCTAAAACGCCACGAATGTCGAGACTGATTATCCCTAACCACCCTAAATTTACTGTTAATATTTTTTATATTTTTATTGATTTCAGAGAGGAAGGGAGGGGGGAGACAGAAACATCAATGATGAGAGAGAATCATGGATCGGCTGCCTCCTGCAAGTCTCACACTGGGGATGGAGCCGGCAACCTGGGCACGTGCCCTGACCGGGAATCGAACTGGGACCTCCTGGTTCCTAGGTCGGTAGCTCAACCACGGAGCTGCACAGGCCGGGCAATATTTTTTTTCTAATCCATTTTAGACTTTTAAACTTAAAGGTCTCCTGTTCCCAGTATTATTAACATACTAGAGGCCTGGTGCATGGATTCGTGCACCGGGTGGGGGTCCCTCAGCCAGGCCTGCAGGGATCAGTGGACCTCCGCGTTGCCACAGCCTGGCCTTACCCCCAGCTCAACGGGCTCCGGCCCGCTTGTCCGTGTTGATCCTGCACAGCACGGAGTAGTGTGTGAAGCAGCAGGTGGCCAGGGAGGAGCCCAAGCCCGGGCTTGGGTGCTGTGCTGCTCCCACTCGGGGAGTGTTGGCAGGAGAGGCTCAATCCGCTGCAGCTGCGCTCTCGCCAGCCGTGAGCCCAACATCTGGCGCCCATCTGTCAGCTGAGCGGCACTCCTGCTGTCGAAGCGCACTGACCACCAGGGAGCAGCTCCTGCATTGAGCATCTGCCCCCTGGTGGTCAGTGCGCGTCATAGCTACTGGCCGGTCATCTGGTCGCTTAGGCTTTTATATATAGAGATATAAGAATCTCGATTCTTGCCCTGGCCAGTTTGGCTCAGTGGACAGAGCGTCGGCCTGCAGACCGAAGGGTCCTGCACGCGCCCGGGTTACAGGCTCGATCCCCAGTGTGGGGCTGCAGCCGATCAATGATTCTCTCTCATCATTGATGTTTCTCTCTCTCCCTCCCCCTTCCTCTCTGATATCAATAAAAATATATTTAAAAAAAAAAGAATCTCAATTCTTAAAAATTATCTGGAGTCAACGTGGGGAGAACCAAATCGCAGCCTGCTGGGTGCTGGGAACACCGAGACTGGCCCAGGCGACCTCAGTGTACCTGCCCCCCAGAAATGGCCTTTCCCGAGGGATCCCCAGCTCTAGGTTCTTCGTCAAATGTGCTCACACTCAAGAGAAAAACAACTCTTCAAAGTCAAAGTTCTCCGCTGGATCGTTATGCAGCCAACAGATCTACCACAATTCTGTTCACTGATTCACCCAGGTCCCTTACACACCCTTCACGCTGTGACTTCAAACGCATCTAAATAGGATGATTCAATAGCTTTTCAGCGAAAAGCCCGAGTATTGAGCATCACTAACCTTGGGATACCTGTCACACTCCTTAGCGCAGTGGTTCTCAACCTTCTGGCCCTTTAAATACAGCTCCTCATGTTGTGACCCAACCATCAAATTATTTTCGTTGCTACTTCATCACTGTCATGTTGCTACTGTTATGAATCGTCACGTAAATATCTGATATGCAGGATGGTCTTAGGCGACCCCTGTGAAAGGGTCGTTCGACCGCCAAAGGGGCCTCGACCCACAGGTTGAGAACCGCTGCCTTAGCACTTTCAAGAGATGTCCAGACACCACCTTTATCTACTAAAAACAAGGACTGTATGCCAGGATCTGGTTTGGCGCTTTGAAGTGAACGTTAGAGAAATGTCCTCAGGAAAGTGGATTTTATCATCGCTCCATAGAGGAATGAGAGCGCCCAGCGAGTCCTGCACGCAGCATGCCCTGTAGGATGTCATTCTTCACGCTTTCCATCGACGGAAGGTCAAGGCTAAGTTGTGACGGCTACAAGAAGCAACTACGGGTCCTGCAGCACATCTGTGTAAACTGTGCTGCCCGGGGTAACGCTGCTTGAAATTTAAAGACCAAGGCCTCACAACGGAGCCGGAAATATATACACAGTTAGGAGACACAGAAGTTGTTGGGAGGCAAATGGAAAAGGTTACCATTTGTTACTCAATTCATTCTTCTTTTTTTAAAAAAAATACATTTTTATTGATTTTTTTACAGAGAGGAAGGGAGAGGGGGAGAGAGATAGAAACATCAGGGTTGAGAGAGAAACACCGACCAGCTGCCTCCTGCACGCCCCCTACTGGGGATCACGCCCGCAACCAAGGTACATGCCCTTGACCGGAATCGAACCTGGGACCCCTCAGTCCTCGGGCCAATGCTCTATCCACCGAGCCAAACCGGCTAGGGCACTGAATTCATTCCTGAATCGAAGTGACTTTCCGCCTGCAGACAAACATTCTGATGTGTTTATATAGGAAGGGAGCAAGAACCTGGGATGGGATAGGAAAAACCCTCGGTTGCTATTTCTAGAACTGTGGACTGGGTCGCCGCGGCAACGACCCCGAAGGATGGGGACGCGGGAAGGACGGCGAGGGGCAACGGGTCTGCCGCAAGAAGAGAGCCGCGCGGCTGTACTTGTAAGGAAGACGATGGGGTTTAAAATGGAGCTCAAAACGAGGACTTTGTAGGAGTCAGACAAAAAGTACTGCTGCTTCGGGCCTTCAAGAAATTGGCATCAGGTATAATCACACACTACACATACACAGATCCCACTGTATTTTTAAAAATATATATATTTCTATTGATTTCAGAGAGGAAGGGAGAGGGAGAGAGAATAGAAACATCCATGATGAGAGACATTCGTTGATCAGCTGCCTCCTGCACACCCCTCACCCCCCCTCCCTGGGGATCGAGCTCACAACCCGCGCAAGTGCCCTTGACCGGACTCAAACCCGGGACCCTTCAGTCTGCAGGCTGACGCTCTACCCACTGAGTCAAACCGGCCAGGGCGATCCCACGGTATTTAACTCAGTCCTTGGTGAAGGCCCTTGACCACACAATGCCCTCTGCCCTGCATGCTATGTGGAGAACAACTTGAACCGCGTAAGGGAGTTTAAGTATCTGACTATTGTGGTCGGACAACAACAGAGTAAAATTACACATTGTCATTCTCTTGACTGGAAGAGGAATAAGAACACTGTGTTCAGCGGGGCCGTGAGAAAATAAGAACCAACCGGGAACGGCCAACCGTGAATCATTCTAAACAAAAAGGAGACACACGACCCACATCCCCTCCGCACACATTCCTTCGTATCGGTGACTTTTACGAACTCTTTCAAGAACAGGGACGCGACGTGTAAAACCTTACGTGGCCCAGGACCTTAAAAAAAAAAAGCGATTTCCCACATTCGAGGAGACGTGTTTGAGAACCAACCGCTCCCTTCCCTTCGGTGATCTAAGGGCCACACACGGAGCAACACGTATAGACTGCAACTTTATTTCAATCGCACAATCGAAGTTAGCGTGTAGGAAAACGTAAATGAAAACAGCAACGATCAAAAAACGGCGGAGAACCTGGACGCGAGGCAGGAAGGACGCCGGAAAGCGGGGGACGTCGACATCCCTTCGTGTGTCGCCTTCAGTTGCGATGGACGCGGGATGCTGGCGAAATTTTCAAAACGCACTTGGAAACCAGGATGACGGTTCTGCGGAGAGTTCAGCACCAGCGCTAAGGGGTGTACATTCAGTGGGTGTGCAGCTGACGTGTCCGCCGTCCACGGGGTGTGGAGTACAGGTGTGCACGGATCAGGTCACAGTGTTGAGGAAAGGAGGCGCCCTCCTGCCGTGAGAAAGGACCCCCTAAACTGCTTAAGACATCCAACGTGCAGGAGCACGAAGAACCTTCGGGGGTAGCGTGGTTCCCACGGCGTGTGGGGCAGGCGCAGAACCCCGGCTGCTGCTTCCCGCGGTCATCGCTGACATCCCTCGCACACGTGCTCACACGCGTGACAGCAGACGGGGACAGGGATGCCATCGAGCTCCTTGGAGAGGACACGCGTAGCCACCTGGGAGGAGGCGGCGTGACGGGAAGCAGAACATGGTGGTTCGACACTGGTTCTTTCTGTCGCTTGACACGGACATCGTGTTAACGTGAGACCAAGGCACAAAACGTTTAGTGCATCAACCAGTTCCCTTGTCAGATCTAGCATTTTATTGTCGTCTTTCATCTTCCTCTGGACCATTCGTACCCCACAGTCCTCTACCCTAGCGTAGACTATTTAACTTAAACCAACAAAACCCAAAGTTACTTCCGACCAGATTTATAGGGGACATAAACGTTCAGATCACGGGTGTTTACATAACCGAAAAGTACAATAATAAAGATGAAAATGCCTCCTATTCCTTTAAGAAAACAGTACTTTGTAAGCTTGTGGCATCCTTAATGTCTTTACTACGAATGCATGACAATGAAGGGCGGACAGAGTAAGAGAACTGTGCGCTTGAACTACGGTAGCTCATCTAACACAGATCCACCTAAAAAGGAAGTTTGTACAGAAACAGAACTACTGTAATAAGGAAAGAAAAAAAAAATATCCCTCATTCAAACCTCATTCAAGCCGTGACAACGGTGCAAACCGGCAGCATCCAGCCAGCTACGCTATGGACAAGCCCCGTCTTACGGACTGAGATGCACGAAATCTAGAAAGCGGGTGGATCATTCCTTCAACATTTTAGTGATCACCAAAGACGTCAGAGCAAATATGGCACATAACAACTCAAGCATGAATCAAGGTGGAGAGCCTAGAGGATTTTTGATTTCCTAAATGTGAAAAAAAAAAAAAAATCTATCATTGCAACAGACAGGATTTCTGCCCTATTTTAATCTTACAAAATGTCAAAAAAAAAAAAAGGGGGGGGGGGGAGTGGGTTACATCCACACGCGTGTGCCCGCACTCACACACACGCGCACGCACAGTTGGGAGGCAGAGGAACTAATTCCTCGTTCCCACCGCCCGAGTCTCACTTTATGTATTAAAAGAAAATTATGCCCAACTCCTCAGGGGCTGCCCCTCACCCAACGCTTTCCGTGACCTTAACTGCTGCCGCCATGGTCACCGCTCGTCATTCAACATCACAAAACCCCGAAAGCAGCTCTGCGGTCGGGAGCGTGTAGTACCTGCAGAATCGTGTGTCAGACCCTGGAAACGCCCGAAGCCCAGAGATACATCGCTGAACACGTGACGGAGAGGATTGCGTACTTGGTTCTGGTACATACTAACCAATGAAAGTCATGAGAGAGTCCTCACCGTGTTTTTTCATGCAGGTAATCGAGAAAAAAAAGATAGTGCAGAGATGAACTTGAAATAAAAAAATTATTCCTTCCCTCCCTCCCACTCCCCTCGATGCTACAAAATGTTTTTTTTTCTCCCTGGGACCAGGCCTTGAAAAGGCCACTACGTAGTAACGGTGACATGCATTACTGTCTGGCGATTTAAAAAAGCGCGTTTTGTGGTGGTTGTGTAATTACATTATAAAAATGTCCACATGCAATAAGTCTACAAAAGGTCAAAAACCTACAGGAAAAATCTACAATATTATCGTCTTACATTTGACCACTGCTTTGTGTGATGTCGGAGTCATCGATTTGGTAAAGCATTGTAACAATTTAGGAAGGCATGTAAATCTCTTAAATTCTGGATGAATTTTATGTTTTAAATCTACAAAATTGCGTGAAGGCTAACTCGAGAGACTTCCCATCATCCTGAAACTCCTCCAGCCGGACAAAGTCGTTTTTTTGGGGACGCTTTCTTGAGAGATATCACCCTTCGAAAGCACACAGCTATTCCGTTCTGTCCCACCTTGGACGATCGAAACGTACACGGGGCTCACTCGATATTCATGGACTAAGTATGATAGGAAGACGAACCTGAGAGAAACATGTACAATACAATAGCATGACCTGCTGAATTCTTCATCAGCGCTCTCTGCAAAAAAAAACCTCCGTAAGCCTCGCTCCTCTTTATTTTTAAGCCATGGGTTGTGGAAATGTGAGATCCGATCTTGACCGGAAAATATTTCAATGCGCGGCGGGCGATCTTGCCTGGCGGGCTTATTTAGCGTTTTCTGGAACGTTCCACGGCTCTTCCATCCCGTTGAAAAGGTCAGAGTAAAGCAGCAAACTGGGAGAGAAACAGCTGGCCGCCGGAGTAACGGTGTCTGAAGGCTTTCAAAGTAGGTTGGTTCCCCCCTCGCCCCCCCTTCGGACCGTCTCCATCACCTTCTCACGGCTCACAAACGGAGGAGGGCCCGTTGTTCGCCGTTGCTGTTGGTCGCTGTGTCTTTCCTCCTCCGGGTTTAAGTCCTCTCTCCCCGCAGTTTGCTTCTCTACGCGGTGTTGGCCTTGCTCAGTTCCTGCCTGATTGCTGAGTGGGGAAAGGGAAAGGATTCAAAATAAATGAAATAGTCAGGTACAAACAGACGAGTGGCTCGATCTTAAGAAATGTTAACGGCTGCAATAAAATAAACACACGGATCTTGCATGCTTCATTGAATAGGTCTTTTCGCCTTCTCATTGCAAAGACGATACCCATTTCCACATGCATATATTTATTTATTCTCTCCCTTTCGGAGGCCAGGTGAAGGCACGTATTCTGAGGGCTCAAAACCAAGGGGGCGGGATGGGTGAGTAGGGGAACCCAGAGAAAGGCTCATCACCCCGTTTCCCAGCCATTACTTCTCAACACCTGAAACATGGGGATCTTGCTTATCTTTATTTTTTACCTCTGTTATAAGAAGGAGAGAGCGCCTCCCACAAGCCAAGCCAAGGGCAGGATACGATGGTAAAGGAATCGTGTTACGCCCTCAAGTAACAGCCCGGTTCTTTATTTGCATTTTATTTGCATTTTCTTAAAACTCGCTATTCTTATTAAACAGGATTCGGCAGGAGTACCAAACTTGTTGACACACTCACCATCAATGAGCTCCTCTTTTAGCTTGGTTAGTTCTTTTCTCATTTCATCTAAGATGTCCTAAAACAGCGGAGAAACACACCAGGGAGACAGAGGGTAAGTTACTGCCGAAACGATTCTTGCTATTATATAAAATCTGAATAACGTGCGGAACAGGACGCCTGGTTCGTGTCTCCAGGGTCACGATGTCTGTGCCGGGAGACGAGCCTCGGTGCGTTTCGTTTCAATGGTCTCCCTTTCCCAACCTCTTGGCTTCCCCGAAAGATACGAAACAGAATGCTTTCTAGAACCGAAATAATCCATCCCTCTGTCTTCCCGTGACGGGTCTGACTCGGATCGTCTCCAGAAAGGACAGGAGCTTTCAGTCTAGCCTCCGGGGAGGGTGTGCAGGGCGGGGCACCCCAGGGTGCGGAGGAGGAGACACGTGAAGGGGACAGCCAGCTCCTCGCACACCTGTCATCAGGCCTGACGTATGGGGCTGGCTTAGGACTCACCACAGCTGCCAACTGCATGGCCAGGACCCCCAGGGGTCCCCCCGGAGGCCCCCAGGGGCTGCCCTCACAGGAGAGAAAGGTGGACGGGGCCCTGCTGGCCCTGCCCGGTCCAAGACCGAAGGTACCAGCCACACGGAGCTACCGAGCCCCTGGAAGGGGCTGGGCTGAAACGAGATGCTTTCTCAATGTAAAACAGACACTAGACTTCAGAAATGTAGTAGGAAGAGAATAATGTCATTAGTAGTTTTATTTTATTTGTTTTAAATATTATTGTTATTGATTTCAGAGAGGAAGGGAGAGAGAGGGAGAGAGGAAGAGAGGGAGGGAGGGAGGGAGAGAGAGAGAGAAACATCAATGATGAGAGAGAATCATTGATTGGCTGCCTCCTGCACGCCCCCCACTGGGGATCGAACCCACAACCCAGGCATGTGCCCTTGACCAGAATCGAACCCGGGACCCTCCAGGCCACAGACCGGCGCTCTATCCACCGAGCCAAACCGGCGAGGGCAGTATTTTAAAATACTGATCACACATTGAAATGTGACTTTGAAATGTCCTCTGTTTCTCTGTACTGATTTAACGTGGCTACTACACATGTGAAGGCGTGTATGTGGCCCCCGTTCCATTTCCCTTTCATAGCGGAGGGGTGCCCACCCCCCGACCGCTGCGGCCACTTTACGCAAACCCCCGGCACCAACACGCGAGGATCCGAGAAGCGCAAAGCGTGCCAATGCCGCTGTTTCATGTGCAGAAAACACCTGAGCTCCGCCTGCTTTTCGGGCACATTCACCGTCTGTCACACACATGCACGCGAGATAGTTTTTAAAAAGCAGCGAGCGCCGTGAGACGCCGGCTGCCGAGCCCCACCTGCTTCAGCCGGTCGTAGTCTAGTCCCTCGGCCTGGACTCCGTTGGCACTGGGCTGCGATGAGGGCGCGGATTTGGGTCTGTACAAACGAAAGTTCCAGGGCAGGTCAGCAACGCGTCGGCGAGCCCCCGAGCTCACACATCCCTGCACAGGGCCCAGCCCGACCCCGGAGCTCAGGGCACGTCTTAAAACGCATCGTGTTAAGAAGAAGTTAATGGCCAAAGCCGTAGGGCTGATCAGGACAGAAAACAGAACGTCTTTTGCAACTTTTCTCCGCATTCTCAGTTATTTGTCAAGAAGTTGGGGGAAGGTGCTAAGACAGTGATGGTGAACCTTTTGAGCTCGGCGTGTCAGCATTTTGAAAAACCCTAACTTAACTCTGGTGCCGTGTCACATATAGAAATTTTTTGATATTTGCAACCATAGTAAAACAAAGACTTGTATTTTTGATATTTATTTTATATATTTAAATGCCATTTAACAAAGAAAAATCAACCAAAAAAATGAGTTCGCGTGTCACCTTTGACACGCATGTCACAGGTTCACCATCACTGTGCTAAGATGAGGTGACTTCAGTGAAGAGGAGGGGACCAAGGTTCTCTGGGCACAAGGCAGGTCACCCGTGACATGTGACGTGTCCATCAAGACAGAGACAAGGGGATGGCGGCCCCACCGGGGCCCAGGTGACACCACCCCGTCCGCTCTCCTTCTCTTGAAAGTGTACGTGACCTGCCAGAGAGCTGACGAGCCAGTGGGAGGGAAAACATAAAAAACAAATGTTTTACTCTCGTGTGAATCAATTAAACAAATTCTACACCTTGGTTTGGGGGCAAAAACATTTGACTGAGCATGATTTCTTTGTCTGTTTTTTTTTTATTCCATTTCAAGCACCAAAATAAATAAAAAATATTGGGGAAGTGATTACGTTGAAATGGTTATTACGTATAGTCATAGCCAATGACTATTTCCTGATAAAGTGTTTATGGAGATGGCATCCGAATGGTGGTGGTGTGGCTAACTACTTCCGTACAGTTATTTTATGGTGTGTGTGTGTGTGTGTGTTTGTTTTTTTAAGGAAATGTCACACAAAAAGCTGACGGTCAATTGCTGCACTTTCAGAAGTTTAGCTTCTATTAAAATTTTCACACGAAGAAATAAAGTCTTTGGGATGAGGCATAGTGTATGCAAAGGTTTCAATATCACATAAGTCAGCCACAGCTTCCTCTCCAATTCTGGCAATCAGCCAAAATCCTATGTGGAAAAGCCAGCCAGGTAACTGGCCCCTCCTCTATTTTCTGGTTTCGTGTCGTAGGCGGCCACTCTCTAAGGGCCGCAAATCAATGCCGAGTAAAACCGTCAGGCAAGTCATGTATTTCCAACTTTGCAGAGTACCAATGTTAAGCAATCTGAACCAAGACTCAACAGATATAATGACTTTTATAGGGTGTCCCAAAATTCACGCAAGATTTGAATTTTGCGTGAGCATTAACAACAACAAAAAATAATAGCCTAATTTTACTTGGTTCATTGAATCAGATTCTAATATCTGCTGCCCTTTGATTTCAATCCTTTCAATTTGATAAGCATTACCAAGTACCAATGATGGCCCAGGAGCAGGGACAATGAAGACCAATGAAGACCACGGCTTTGCCTATGTGCCAGCAAAGCCGTGGAGGCCATTTTACCCGATCTGCTATTCCATACATAACCCTATACTGGATACTTTATGGATCAATAAAAAATTTACAATTTTTAATTATAAACCTGTGTTTTCTATCAAAATTACTTCTTGCGTGAATTTTGGGACACCCTCTACAAGGTTATAACTGTATAGCTCTTACAAGGCACATTCTACCTGCTTGTGAAGCTGCAAGACTGAGTTAATTTGCTTTAACATCAAACATATGACTGTTTAAAAGGGTGCTGTGAGCAAGTCAACCCATTTCATTTTATTAGATCTCTTCCTACATGTGTCTGAACAAGGAAAATAACGTTCAGAAAACGTCACAATGAGCACCGAGGCGGACACTGTGGGGGGAAGGAGATTTCTATGACCTGTTCTCCTTCCTCTTGTGAGGAGACACTTTTTGACTTGGCTGAGCAGACTACTTAGTGGCATAGTCACCTGCGATGCATGAGGTCCACCGTATGCAAGTCCCGGTGCTCCACGTAGAGTCCGGCCCAATGACACACTCCTAAAGGTCGAGCCTGAACATTTCACTTACCTACGTCCATTGATTCCCGCCCTCCAGCGTTAAATCCTTAACGGCCCTGCTTCTCTCTTACTTTTCACAGTTCATGGTACAACTGCCCAAACACTTTGTCCTAAGTTATACCATGCATACCTTTCAGGGCACGTGACTGACCGCAGTCTGCTACTGAATCGAGCAGTATGCTATCCATATCCCCATACTGACTCAACGGTGCAATCAATGATTGTTATGTAATCAACACTCGTGGGAGCATGCAATTTTTAAAAAAACGGAGTTCATGCTAACATGCAACCCTCCACCATCACCACCACCACCACCACCACCACCACCGTGATAATGAACTAAGGGGGGGAACTTTTCATACGTAAGGAATGAAGTAATCACCACTTTTTAAAAAACAGGTTTATCAACAACAGTGTCCCAGCAGGCACTACGAGTAAAAGCAGCCAGTTAACTGAGACGCCCGACTGACAACAGAACATCTTGTTGTTATGTGCTATTTTTCTATCTACCAGCAAATTTCCTGAATGAATCTTTTGGTCTCAAAAATTAAATGACCTCAAAAAAAAAAAGAAGCAGAAAAAACCATTTTACTATGGTCATATAAACATTTTATGCCAATGTCACTGGCTGACAAAATAAACTTGTCGAAGAGTTGAATCACCAATGGCATGGGAATAATTTTAACTGGTTAACAATGTGGCCAAATAGGGTCTGGTTACAGAACTCCTCACTCATGCTATCAACACGCCTCCTTATCCTACTCAGCTCATGTTCCCAGGCAGCTGGACATGCACTTTTAAACATAGATGCATATCATAACATGGGTAGATCTCTGTTATTTCTAGTCTACGAGTTTTCACCAGAACTGATAACAAAATATGAGGGTTTCTCAGCGGTTTTTGTTACTTTATAATGAGAGTGCTGCCTCTACAATATTTAAGTCCCTGTTCTGCCAAATTAAGTCTCAATATAGCTTATGCATTTGAGGATTTTTTCAAATTGCCTGTTTTGTTTTTTTTTAATGAAGAAAGAAATACACGAATCACATCTTAAATTTTCTTAATTTAAAAAAGGGATCCTAGGACTCATCCTGGAAAACAAATAATCCGTTCAGGATGTGAGACGGTAGGTTGTTAAAGATACTCAATTCCCAACCATGTATCTAGAGACTCTCCTCCAAGAATAACTTATCCACAATTGTGGTTCGACTACTGTCCTGGGTCCCAGTATCAAACTTTCTAAAAGCCCTCGCCCCATATTTAAAAAGAGAAAAATCTTTAAAAGAAAATGAAAACACTACAAACAGCCTAGATATACTATGCAGCCTCAGATTCCCATTCTAGTATTTCTGATAGGTTTACCCTTTATACTGATACTGACATAACGATAAAGTGATGGCAAAGAAATGAACACTATTAATTTTACTAATTTAAATTCTCTTAGATTTTTTTTTTTTAAGTGTTCTATAAATAAAGCTAAACCTGAAAGATTCGATCGTTCTAAACATCTCCCTCGTGGTGATTACCGATCCAGGTAGAAAAAGCTCATCCCTGCCCTGAACACGTCATTTCAACGTCTCAGATCACAGCCACTTCAGGGTGATACCTGTGTAATGAGTCACAGGACCTGCTGTCAAAAACAATCTGATTTTTCCTTGAAGAATCCCGTCTATGGAGGGGAAAAACCATTTAAAGGGGTAGGTAGACAATAGAACTTTAAAAAGTAATTCTCATCATGCTATTTTATAGCTTTTTTTTTTTAGTCTTAGCAAACTCCAAGAACTAAAATAAGAACTTAGCAAAATAAGAACTAAAGGAGTCCATTGACCTTAAAATGAGGTTTCCAACCAAAAAAGTAGATCTTTGTAAACTAATTCTAATTATGTGAGGCTACTGTTTACTTAATCAGAAATTTAAAAAAAAAATCGTTCTGTTTACAGACGGCAGACACGGGAAAATCCGCAACACAGAGATTCAGCAAGTATCAAAACACAGAAGACATTTCTATTGGAGTGAACATAAAGCTATATAGCCTCAAATAAAAGTACACTCAAAACCACTGTGGCTTGAAGGATACAGAACAAACTCTTATCGGGAGGCAGGCCAAGGTCATTTTCCCCATCCTGAATACAAGATCTGTAAGCTCCTGATGAGGACCTGTAAGCTCTTAAAGAAAACACACACTTTCCAACATGATATTCCAGGCAGAGTCCAGAGCATTTTGACGACGACATTTTTGCTTTTAACGCCACTACCTGACATCTTAACAAACACAGCATCATGCAGTATTCCATTAACCCTATAAATGAATGGTTAATATAGGATATTAACCCATGTTACCACGCACGTAGTGACAACATGGATATCCACAAGAGAAAGGGGTATGTTCACTACTGTGCGAGGAGGAGGCGCACTTCAATGAAAACCTAAAACAGCTGATGGACTTGCTTTTCAGAAGGAACGGGGGAGATCACTTAGGAAGAAAAGCAATACCGTTCTTCGTCTCTCTTTTTTTTTTTTAAATATACTTTATTGATTTTTTACAGACAGGAAGGGAGAGGGATAGAGAGTTAGAATCATCGATCAGCTGCCTCCTGCACACCCCCCACTGGGGATGTGCCTGCAACCAAGGTACATGCCCTTGACTGGAATCGAACCCGGGACCCTTGAGTCCGCAGGCCGACGCTCTATCCACTGAGCCAAACCGGCCAGGGCATACCGTTCTTCGTCTCTTAAGCATATTTTAAAAATGGCTTCTGGCCAGAACCGGTTTGGCTCAGTGGATAGAGCGTTGACCTGTGGACTCAAGGGTCCCGGGTTCGATTCCGGTCAAGGGCATGTACCTTGGTTGCGGGCACATCCCCAGTGGGAGGCGTGCAGGAGGCAGCTGATCGATGTTTCTCTCTCATCGATGTTTCTGGCTCTCTATCCCTCTCCCTTCCTCTCTATGAAAAATCAATAAAATATATTTAAAAAAAAAAAAAGAAAAAAGAAAAGAAAAAAAAATGGCTTCTGGTTTAACAGTGTCTGCGGTGGAACGTGAAGACCTCCACCATCAGCTGGACCGACTCTATGGAAAGGTGTACGACTGGTCAGGGAGTAACTGGGCCTTTCGGAATTCTTAGTTCAGAACAGGAACAGAACACCAGCTACCGGGGTCCTGGATAGTAAGAGCCAATATTCCACTAATCCAGTGGTTCTCAACCTTCCTAATGCCGTGACCCTTTAATACAGTTCCTCATGTTGTGGTGACCCCCAACCGTAACATTATTTTCGCTGCTACTTCATAACTGTCATGTTGCTACTGTTATGAATCGTCATGTAAATATCTGATATGCAGGATGTATTTAGGCGACCCCTGTGAAAGGAGAGTTCGACCCCCAAAGGGGTCGCGACCCACAGGTTGAGAACCGCGGCACTAATCTATGTGAAGATGCTTTTTCAATGGTGGCCTTTAGGACACATTAAAATGCCTTTAGAAGTCTGAAAAAATCTTCCCAGAAGTAATTTTTCATTCACTAAATCAGGGATGGGGAACCTTTTCTTTCTGCCAAGGTCCACTTGGATATTGATCACATCACCCACAGCGGCCACACAGAATTATCAACTTGAGAATCAGTCCGCTCCATCCGGTCAGACATCTCAAGAACTCACCCCTCAGGCCTTGGCAGGGCCAGACCAAATGACTTCGAGGGCCTCGTGCGGCCTGCTGGCCGGACGGACCCCGCTCCTGCGCTAAACGAACCCAACCACATCGAGAAACATATTCCCTGGGGAGACCCTCTTCCGTGTCCCCTCTGAGATACTTCTGCGTGAATTCAGGGGTAGCTGTAGGCAAGCCCGCCATGGGATTCCTATCGACGAGATAGGGATGAAGAGCGGCAAAGAGAAAGAATGGCTCCCCGCCCCAAGCATGTCAAACTCGCAGCCGGCGGGCCACATGCCTCGTTTACTTACCTAAACCGGCCACGAGTTTGACACGCTTGATCTACACCCTCAGAGGACAAAGGGCACATCACAGTTCTGTTCTCTGATGTGTACGTGATACAGCAGGCTTCCTACCGCGCCACTGAAGAAAGGCAGTAACAGCTACCGGACATGCATTCACAGACTCCATCACTAGGCATCTGGGAACTTAACCGGGCCATTTCTCCACTCTCCTGAGAAAACAGGCCCACCCAAAGCAAGTTCCGCATCTTCCTCTATAAAATCAAATAGATTCCTCTCTCAGTCCCTTCAGAAACACAAAGCATCTTTCTGTTCAAAAGGCCCGGTTCCTTTGCGGTGCTTAAAGCATCGTGTCCCCGGCAAACCTGCTCTGTCATCTGGAAGGGCCACTGGGAAAACAGATGGAAATTCAGATTCAGGCTAACACAGAACAGATCTGTGAGACTCTGAGGTCCATCCTTGTGTTTTTCTTTATTAGATTTCTGTAAGTAGAGTCAATTTTGCTTTTTCTGAGGCAGAAACAAGGCAACTAGCTCAAAAAGAAAAGGCAAAAATAAAACCACACAAATCCAAAACTCTTTAGTCTCTAGGAAAATAGCTTTTGTTCCTGGGAGTCCTTTAAATTGTCTCATAAACAAACAAAAAAGTTTCATCTCTGTTCAAGACTTGAGATATGAACTTTGTTATGCTAATAAAGCACGCCTCGCTAAGGAACAGTGACTTTCCTCGACCACACACACACGGCCACTTGTAGGAACATGCATTAATTCACCTTGTTTCCGGGCACTCTCTTTTCTAACTTGATTATAATTAGAAGTTTCAACGGAGAGAACCGTAAGTCTTCCTACTTTACAAATTCAAAACTTTAGGCTTCATTTTGCTCTCTCATAAACATCATGGTCTTTTCCCTCCAGCCACTTTTCAGTGTTAAAACATAAGCTTCGTTCAAAAACTTCATTTACAAAATACAGGATGCCCCCGGGGCTAGCGGGAAGAGGTGAATGTATTCTGTAAATTATGGTTCGGTGCTAAATTTCTTGAGAGTGAGAACAGTATCGGGGGTACGTCGAAGAATGTTCCGGTGCTCAGGAAAAATGCAGAAGTATTCAGGGGAAAGCAGCCAATGTTTGCAAACTGCCTTCTAACTATTCAGAGGGAAAATTGTGTGGATGGGCGGGCAGATACGAGCTCAAGCACATGTGGCAACATGTTAGTAATAATAATTGGCATATTGAGGTGATGGGTATATGGGGGTTCACTGTACTGTTCTTTCAGCTTTTCTGTCATTTTGAATCTTTCAAAAAAAAAAAAAATGGGAGGAATAAAAGCTCTCTGACAGTTCAGACAGCCTGGCCGGGAACAAGCAGCGGGCAGAATTTAGACAATTTAAACAAATCACCGGTGACATACAAAGGGGCACAGTGCCTGTCCAACAGCCGCAGGAACACGGGCGTTTCCCTGGCTCCACCGTACAGTGTCAAACCTACCATCCCATTTTCTCTCTGCGGTCAAGATGCAGACGTCGATTTCTTCTCAGATAAAAATGCACTAGAAACACGCTCATACCTGGAAATCACAGGCGACTTGCTGCCATTCATGGTGTTCGTTCGTTCCCACGGTTTTCTTGTTGGTTCTTTAAAAATAAAGAGGAGAAATTATTCAATACCCGACACGCTCCCAGAGTTATTGTAAAGCAAGTCATAAAGCACTAAACACCATTATACAGGAAAGGGCAGTAGTCTAGGTAAATAAGAAACTTTTTAAATTTCAGTTGTGAACTGCAGTTAAAATCGGTAAGGGTTCCGACTGGAACAGTTTCAGACCTTAAAATGAGGAGACTGAGCAAGGTTGACACGTTTCTCGGGGATATGCTTAGACGGTTACATCTAAAATACTATTAATTCTATGCACCGGATGGGAAGAGGTTTCTCTGATAAAGACAGGATCATCAGAGTAAGAGCAGGATATTTTTAAGTAGTTAGAAAGAAGTAGTATAAAGTATTTTAAATTAAGAAAGAGTGTAAGGCCCTAGCTGGTTTGGCTCAGTGGACAGAGCGTCAGCCTGCGGACTGAAAGGTCCCGGGTTCGATTCCAGTCAAGGGCACATGCCCGGGGTTGCGGGCTCGATGCCCAGTGTGGGCGTGCAGGAGGCAGCCAATCAAAGATTCTCTCTCATCACTGATGTTTCCATCTCTCTCTCCCTCTCCCTTCCTCTCTGAAATCAATAAAAATATACTTTTAAAAATTTCACTGAATTCAAGAATGTTTCCAAAAGGGTTTTAGATCCCCCTCCCCTTACAAATTAGAAGCTTTATTTCCTTGATTATCACCATGAGCTAAATGAATGGTTAAAATGACAACCTTCCCATTTTGAGAATGTTTGGAAATAAGACTTAATGCTGGTTAACATGCTCAATCTATAAGAACCGATTATTAGCCCTGGCCGGTTTGGCTTGGTGGATAGAGCATCGGCCTGCGGGCTGAAGGGGCGCGGGCTCGATTCCAGTCAGGGGCACATGCCTGGGTTGCGGGCTCGATCCCTTGGGGGGGGGGGGGTGTGCAGGAGGCAGCCGATCCATGATTCTCTCTCATCATTGATGTTTCTCTCTCTCTCCCCCTCTTCCTTCCTCTCTGAAATCAATAAAAGTATTTTTTTAAAAAAAGAACCAATGATTAAAAAACACTTCCCTTTCATCTACGAATGCATTTTCTTTGTGTTAGTGAATAACCTTGAGTCGTTACCAAGGAAACCCACAAAATGTGTAAACATTACGATTTTCCAAAGAAAGAACCATCCGAGGAAAACCTGGGGTCTCAACAGGTCCCCCCAACAGCAAAAAGAAATGAACAGCTGCTTCTGGCATCATCGCAGAGGGCGGAGGGGAAAACAGGCCATGTGATCTCAAGGGTGAACAGAAATTCTCACATGTTAGTGACCCCGCGGTCACCTGACCCCACCCTGGGGAAATGGAGCGTGTGACCAGAGAGAGGACGCTGGGAGAGGGTGAGCCAGGTCTCGTGCCCTTACCAGGGGTACTTGTGGAAGAGGCCTTAGAAACGACGGGCTCCGCGTCCTCCTAAACACACAGAAATACGTGTTAATAGCATCCGCACCTGCCGGACAGAGTCAGTGCTAGTCCTTCCGTTCCCAATATCCTTCCCGCCACTTCCCACTTCTCCCTTCGCCCATCTTCTCCCTTCTCTCACTTTCCTCGCAGTGTGCCCTCCGATGCCCCCGGAACTCCTTCCCTCGCGCTCTCACTGAGAACTGCACCAGCCAACGCTATCCCGCCAGACGGGGGGTGGCAGCCCAGAAGGCCCGGTGTATCGGGAAAAACCATTCTATCGTGTGTTCAACATCCATCCACGGAACAGATACAGGAGAGTTCGCCCAGCTGAACTGGGAGAGGAGCCCAGCTAATAACCAGCTGCAGGCTCCCAGGGGAAACACCTATATAAACGCTGCTGCTGTAGTCTTATTGCTTCATTTTAAATGCAAGGAAACGGGCACCCTAAGAGGAAAAAACAAAACCAAAACCAAACCACCACCACCGTCTAGTACAGTGGTTCTCAACCTGCTGGCCCTTTACACACAGTTCCTCATGTTGTGACCCAGCCATAAAATTATTTTCGTTGCTACTTCATCACTGTCATGTTGCTACTGTGATGAATCGTCATGTAGATATCTGATATGCAGGATGGTCTGAGGCGACCCCCGTGAAAGGGTCGTTCGACCGCCAAAGGGGTCGCGACCCACAGGTTGAGAACCGCTGATCTAGTAGAAGGTCATTCGCTCATCCTATATAATAAAAGCCCAATGTGCAAATCGACCGAATGGCGGAACGACCGGTCGCTATGATGCGCACCTACCACCAGGGGGCAGACGCTCCATGCAGGAGCTGCCCCCTGGTGGTCAGTGCGCTCAGCCAGAAGCGGGGCTCAGGGCTGGCGAGCGCAGCGGAGGTGGTGGGAGCCTCTCCCCTCTCCGCAGCAGCGCTAAGGTTATCCGACTGAGCCAGCTCCCGCTCCTTTAATGATAAACTTAGGTGCAGAATTAAACTCTACAGACTTGAACCTAGGGCTTCCCTCTCCACCCCAGGTAGTCAACCCATCTTACTAGGAATGTCATTAAAAATGTACAAGCACCGCTCAGCACGAGCTATCTTACTGCCTGAAGACTAAAAAGAGAAGCAATCTTAAGTTCACGTGAAGTTCGCACCCATCGTTGCCAGAATTTCCTGAATGAGCTGTGCTTCAGCCTCACACTCCCAGGTCTTTAGTAACTTACACTTTTGTCCTCTTTTTGTTCTGCTTCTATTGTTGACCCCTTTTCGGCAATTCTCCTCCTAAAACGGAAGGTAAATTGGATTCTTTTTTTTAAAAAAATCATCTCTTAGTATAAAAACGACTCCACGAGGGATGAACTGCATCTAGATAAATTATATTTGAGAGGAGATGAAGAAAACACTCCCGATTCTGGACACGCCCACACAATTGCTCACTTACCTCCTGGCCAGCAGGGCACTCATTTCTTCCATTAAACCACTGCCCCCGAGAGGAAGGGGTCCGTTCCCACGACCCGTGTCTGCTTTGGACGAGGCCGAATTCACACCAACGGTACTGCCCCCGCTTGGGAACGAGGCGTCCTCCATCTTAACGAAACACACAGAGATGGTAAACTCCTAGGTGAAGCAATACTGCACTTTCCCGTTATATGACACTCAAACCAGAATAACACAGCAGCAACCATTTCTATAAGACATCTATTTTGCAATCTCTTTAAGAACCAATGGGGGTGAATAGCATGGATCTTACAGAACAAGGGAAGTTTTCTCCAAGTTAGCATCAGTAAACATGGGGAGAATATATCACATGTCCCTGTGTGGGATACACTGATAAGGACATATTGGGGGTGAAGAAATACCTGCCCCAAAACACATCACCTGAATCTAGTCTTGAGAAAACATCAGATGAACCCAACTGAAGGATGAGCGACAAAATAATGGTTTTCTAGCTGTCAAAATGCCAGCATCGCCCGGCCGGCGTGGCTCAGTGGTTGAGGGTTGACCTATGAACCAGGAGGTCACGGTTCGATTCCCGGTCAGGGCACATGCCTGGGTTGCGGGCTCGGTCCCCAGTGGGGGGCATGCAGGAGGCAGCCGATCCATGATTCTCCTCATTGATGTTTCTATCTCTCTCTCCCTCTCCCTTCCTCTCTGAAATCAATAAAAATATATTTTTTTAAAAAGTCAATATCATGAAAGTTTGAGGAATTGCTACAGATTAATGCAAAGTAAAGAGACACAACAACTACCTAGAATGGGTGGTGGTCTTGGGCTAGAAAAAAACTGTCGTAGAAGCCATTACTGGACAACAGATAATAGATCTGTAGGTGATAGCATTCCAGCGACAACAGATCCTGATTTGGATAATTACACTGTGGTCATGCAGGTGAATGTCCTTGCTCAGTGAGGCGTTTAGGGAAAGAGGGGCCTGGTATCCCTGACTTCCTCGCAATTCAGACAAAAAGAGATGCGCATGCGTGTGCGTGTGCGTGTGCGTGTGCGTGTAAAAGAAAACATACACAGAGAACAAAGAATAAAAGTCTGACTAAGAGTCAGATGTTAACCAGTGAGTCTAGGTGGTGGGTTTTCAGAAGCTATATTATTCTTGCAACTTTTCCGTAAACTTAAATTCTTTCCATTTTTTTTAAATGAATGAAGTCATTAACCTAGGATTCATAAAATTAGAGCACAAGCAAGTCAGTCTTTCAAACACTGAGAAACAATGAGACAGACATTGAGAAAGAACAAGATAGACATTGAGAGAGAACGAGATAGACACTGAGAAAGAATGAGATAGACATTGAGAGAGAACGAGACAGACATTGAGAAAGAACGAGATGTTAGATATTGAGGAAGAACGAGATAGACACTGAGAAAGGACGAGATAGACATTGAGAAAGGACGAGATAGACATTGAGAGAGAACGAGATAGACACTGAGGAAGAACGAGACAGACATAAAAAAAAATATACAATAATTTGGAATCGCATTTACCCGTGACACCTTCCTAAGTTTTGCTCCAGCAATTGCAGCCGCCAGTCCAGTTAGCGGGCGATTGTCTTCGGACACGGATCCCATAAAAAATCCAGAGGCAGGGAGAGGAGGAGCGGGAGGTGGGGGAGGAGGGGGCACCTGGTTCGGAACTGGAAGTGGAGGAGGAGGGGGCGGTCCTGGGGGAGGAGGGAGCGCCCCTGGAGCCTGGGCAGGACCTGGTGGGAGCGGAGGAGGGGGTGGAGGTGCAGGTGGTCCCAAGACAATGCCTGAGAGAAAGAAACGCACAATGAGACCGGCAACAGTAGACGACAAATGACAGTACCTACGTGGGCCCGTAGGCAGAGCGTCATGCCAAACTGAACGGGCGACTCAGACTGTTGCTACATTATTAACGAGTTCCATTTACCATCATGTTGAGAGTCTAATCAGTATTAACACGATACTAACATGTGAAGCCACAGCGCATAACTACTGGCTGTAGTATTAGAGCTTTACTGATAGATCTATGCCACAGGGCACCTAATTAGAATTTCTTTTTCGTTCATGGGGATTTAGTAAACAAAATAAATGCTTATAAAATCTGGAAGGGAGGCAGCACCCCGGGGGGGGGGGGCAATGTATATGATGGCAGTCGGTACTATTTGAAATACCAGACCCCCCAAAAATCTGTGTAAATTGTAAATTCAATAAATTCTACAAGAGCAAAGACATATACTGACTTGTATATAGACAGCCAAAGTGGCTAGCCTGAGAACAGAAAGGTCAGTGGGTCCCAGGCATCAACATCTTCAATGATTCCCCATCGAATTCCAATGTGTAGCGAGAATACGGAGAATCACTGAAGTTAAGGACTGGACTAGGACATAGCAAAACCGCCAAATAACTATCAGAAATCATTCAGTGACATGGACAAAGTACAGAGGGTTTTTTTAGCCTAGAAGATGGGGGGTAAGAGAAAAATGTCCAACTCTCCTAAAATCACAAAAGAGAGCGGACAAGATCTTAATATCAGAAAGCTGCCCTAGGGGGTACCCCGTCCCTTCAGGCGTCAAAGGGGTGTTTTGGGGCAAATAAAATGCTATTTGCACACTGGGAGGTACATCTTCTGAAACTGCTGCCTTTGGGCAGTTACACAAGCTCAAAACATAAAGTGTTTCAAGGAGAGTCCATTGGGCTGTCACTCTCCCAGGGGCTGTCACTCTCCCAGGGGCTGTCACTCTCCCAGGAGCTGTCAATCTCCCAGGGGCTGTCACTCTCCGAGGGGCTGTCAATCTCCCAGGGGTTACTGCTAAGGCTGCTGCAGGTAGGCTGTCTGACCCATCGAGCTATAATTGTGCCTCATTACTGTCACAGTGATACTAAACTAGAATTTTGGCTCAACATGTTTATGCAAATCCGAGAAGTCCACAAGAAAAAATACATATGTAGCAATAATGAGACTTATTACTTTATCTTGAGAACGAAGATTTAAAAACAAAACGGTGTGTTTAAATCCAGACTTATAACACTGTTGGTAAGCACCAATTTGTCATCCTACTCCTTTCTGTAATTCTTGCTAAATCCTATTTTTAAAGGGGCAGGAGGTTTGCTAAACACCTTCTTATTTACTTACAGAGCCAGGTCCTCCTCTAGATAGAAATAATCCCTACTTAGCCCTGGCTGGTGCTGCTCGGTGGTTAGAGCATCGGCCCGTGCACCAAAGGGTCGGAGGTTCGATTCCTAGTCAAGGGCACATACCCGGGTTACAGGTTCGCTCCCCACCCCGGGTTGGGGTACATGTGGAAGGCAACCAGTAGGCAACCAATTGATGTGTCTCTCTCACATTGATGTTTCTCTCTCTCTCTCTCTCTCTCCTCTCCCTCCCTCCCACTCTCTCTGAAAAGCAATGGGAAAAATATCCATGGGTGAGGATTAACGAGAGAGAGAGAGAGAGAGAGAGAGAGAGAGAGAGAGAGAGAGATGACACAATTTAGTACAATCTGATGATTTGCTGAAGATAAATACTGCATATTTGTAATGATAGATTGAGAAGAAATTATGGAGAATTGTTTATAAAATAGATTTATGATCCTGAGTCTGTTCAATCATCCTGTTCTAAAGTCTAGAATTTAGAAATTCTCATAAAACAGTGCTTAAAATCATGATGGGAAGAAGGACATCTTTTGCTGGAAACAATAGAATATAAATATAAAAAATAATTTTGTATTTCAGAAGTAGTTAATTGCCAAAGGACAGAACAAAATTAAATAAGATAAGATTCTGAACCAAGTATAAAGTATAAAATATTTTCTTCACAAAATACATTAGGTTTAATTTAGTCTAGACACCAAATCTTTCAGATGCTATCTTTCTCTTAACCTATTAAGAGTCTAGAGACAGTGATGGTGAACCTATGACACGCGTGTCAGAGGTGACACGTGAACTCATTTTTTTGGTTGATTTTTCTTTGTTAAATGGCATTTAAATATATAAAATAAATATCAAAAATATAAGTCTTTGTTTTACTATGGTTGCAAATATCAAAAAATTTCTATATGTGACACGGCACCAGAGTTAAGTTAGGGTTTTTCAAAATGCTGACACGCCGAGCTCAAAAGGTTCGCCATCACTGCCCTAGGATGACATATAATGACTACAGCCGGGCACTAAACATTAAACATCTCTCTCTAAACTTTCCAGACACGAAAGGAAGACCAGGCTGATCACATAGTTATCAAGCACCTTGAGTGTGGCCTGTAACGCTTTCTCGGTGAAAATTGAGAAGGAATGCATCCAGGAGGCCCTTAATCACTGGTCAGTTACGATCCTGCTAAAGATGCCAACATCTAGCTCAGTGATTCCCAAAGTGGGCGCTACCGCCCCCTGGTGGGCGCTGCAGCGATCCAGGGGGGCGGTGATGGCCACAGGTGCATTTGTTTTAACTTTTTTTGTATTACCTTTCTATTCTGAGTTCAATAAATAGTTTCATAATTTCAAACTTCAATGTTTCTAATTTACACCTTTCCGGGGGGGCCTTACCCGGTGGGGCTGGCGTCTCGGCCGGCTGAGGGGCTGCCTGCAAGCCTGGCTCAGAAGCAGAGGAGTCTCCCAGCACAGAGTTTAGAGGAGTCTCCACAGAGGCAGGGGCAGCTGCAGAGGGAGAAGGGAGAACACTAGGCTTGGAGGAGGGAGTTGAGGCAACGGGGGTGCCCGGAGGA